GTAACAGAAAGATTAATGAAAACTGGGTTGACTGAAAGCCTGCCCACTCTGGTCAGCCTCTGGTTTCAGCAGTTGTTCAGTAATGGGCAGCCTCTTGCTCCTCACTATAAACATCTGGATGAGGAGGCTGAAAGAATTAAATTTTGTGCCTGAAAAATGACATATTGAGTAGCAGCTCTGCTTTCATCTCTGGGATCGTGTTTGGAGAAGAATCCGCGCAGAGGCTCAGCGTTAACATTCTTTAACTGCTCCTCAAATTACTAATGCTTCACGTTGCTTTAATCCATTCGGCTGTAATAGCTTTATTAGATTAAACTCCCTGCTGAGCGAGTGAGGAACAGTGGGATTATCACACTTCCCTTTGAACAGCCAGTAAAGACAAAATAAATGGTTAACAAAATAGAGCAAATTCAGTTTGCAGGTGAGCTGCAGTTCCCAGCCCTGTGTGCTGTGGATGGGCTCCGAGTTTTCCTATTATTCCTCGCTTGAAAAATGCTTCTTTAGCAGCCTGAAGAAATTCCCGAGGCAAAAAAGAAGTCCTAATGGAATAAAAGTTCTTCTTTCTCTTTTAGATGTGTTGTTAATTGCATCGTGCCCACTGCAGGGACGGTGTGAGGGAAACCTGAAACTTTATTTAAAACCCCCCCTATTTTTAGCTTCATTTTTGCCAGAGCCGTAGGTGTGCCAGTAACAGCCTTTATTCAGCATCTCCAGAGTGGGAACGCCTAATGACTGATTTTTTATTATTTTTTTAGCAAATCTAATTAACTATTTGAAGTATTCCGTTGAGAGGCTCACGGTTACTATACACAAGCAGTGGGTGGCTCTTCTAGAGTCTCTTAAAAACTCAGTTTCTTCTCAGCATTCTTCAAATCCTCGTCTGCTGGAGCAATTTGAATTTTGTTATTAGTGACTGCTGGAAATCATAATTCAATAAAGACTAACTCATTTAAAAATGCTCCATGCTGAGCGTGCATTAGGTAACTTGGGAAACTTTGGAGACACAGAAAAACATATACTAATATCCAGGTCTACACAGGAAATTGGTATGGCACTGAGCAGCTTGAAGGAGGCTTTTTGTATGTTTTTAAGAAGCTGCAGAAAGGTTGGAAGGAATGCAGTTTTTTTCTAGTAAATCTATTCCTTCCCTCTCCCCAGCATTTTTTTCCTAACACACTGGCGCCCGTCCAAAGGAATTAGAGCCCCCAACAGGCAGGGGACAGTGAAAATAGGCATGATAAACTTTTCTGTAATCATTTCCTAGATAAGTAAGAAAGCCGTTGGGTTTCTCTTCCTGGACTCCACGTATGTCCCTCATTACTCGTCTCAGATGAGTTTGGCAGTTATAAAGATCTCTCCAGCCCCGTCTCTCCTTATTCCCCTCATGGCCATAATCTTACGGCCATAGAAGAAACAGTCCTGCCACAGGGGACGGGCCTCCTGCTCGGGTTTTTGAGGCACATCTGCAGCTGCAGCTGGAGCAAGCTGGCTGAACTCCTGGCCTTGTGAAGGGATGTAATCTCCTAAGCCCGAATTCTCCTTCAGAGGACGCGGCACTGCCTCGTTCCTGCCCAGCGCTGTCCGGCAGCTGCCTCTGCCGCGCCTCATTTGCTGCCTGAGTTCACCCTAGCAAATACACAGGGGGATTTTTTCCCAATTTCTTTCCCCACAAGTTGTTTCATCTTTAGAATCACAACATTTCCTGCCAACATCAGAGGTTTTCATTCTTGTCTCCTCTCTCCCTTGTTCTTTCTAGCCATTTTCAGACTTATATAGCCCTTGTGTTTCTTACCCTTGCTCCCTTTCATCCCCCAGTCCTCTCGCGGAGCCTCCCTCGTTTCAATTCTCCACTTAGCTGGCCTTCAGAAAACAATTCCCGTCTTCCACCTGGTTTTCTTCCTTTGTTGCTCAGGGGTTTGATTTCGCCTCTCTTTGTCCGCTCTCCCCTTCTTGGGTTTTTTCTTTTTTTTCCCCCTCACCCTCTTTTTAAAATTGGAGAAAAGGATCAATATTATCCCCCCTCTCTGTTTGATAAGATAATGCTGGGTGAACACAGCGGCGATGGATTTGTTGTCACTGCAGAGAGGGAGGAGAAGGGGGGAAGGTCTGGCTGCAGGGGCAGGGCTGGGCCCTTGCTGTCTAGGTCAGGCTTGACCAGCCTGGATAAATATATGCAATTCTTCAGATAGAAATCTGGGACAAAGGCCCAGGGTTCTTCGCCGAGGCAAAATGCCCAGGGAAACAAGGCAGTGTACGTCAGAGCGCAGAGGCTGGTTTTAGGTTGTTTACCCAGGAGATAATTTAGGAAAGCCTGACGTGCAGGAATGTCCAGCATTACACCATGGCCTGGGCACGTCTTCTAGACTTTGAGTTCCCCCCGTGAGCCGGGAAAGCTGGTGATCCAACAGGACTCAGCATCCCTGTGATGTACCCGCCGTGCTCTGAAACCTGCCGTGAGGCAGAGCGCTCCGGGGAACCCAGCCTGTTCCTGGGTGGGTTCTGCACTGACCCGGAGAGGAGAAGGTTCTAGGGAGACCTCAGAGCCCCTCCCAGTGCCTAAGGGAGCTCCAGGAGGGCTGGAGAGGGATTGGGACAAGGGCCTGGAGTGCCAGGACACAGGGAATGGCTTCCCACTGCCAGGCAGGGATAGATGAGATAATGGGAAGGAATATCTCACCTTGTGAGGGTGCTGAAGCCCTGGCACAGGTGCCCAGAGCAGTCTGTGGCTGCCCCTGGATCCCTGGAAGTGTCCAAGGCCAGGCTGGACAGAGCTTGGAGCACCCTGGGATAGTGGAAGGTGTCCCTGCCATGGCAGGGGGTGGAATGAGAAGAACTCTAAGGTCCATTCAAACCCAAACCATTCTGGGATTCTGTGACTCCCAAAGCGTTTTTAGTGGAGGTTGGGTTTAAAAAAACTTTTGTTCTTTCTTTTTAATATTGTGGATGTGTGAAAAGTAGGTAAGATTTATTAGGGAGAGAGCCGAGCCCCTCCCCGCTTCCCCCCTGCCCGGGATCCCGATACCCTCGTTCCCTGAGGCATCGCACACGTGTCACAGCGGTCCCCGCAGCCCGCGGCTGCCAGCGGCCGTGCCCGGGAGCGCGCCGCGGGGCTGTGTGCTCCCGTGTGTGTACCGTGTGTTCCCGTGTGTTCCCGTGTGTTCCCCGTGTGTTCCCGTGTGTGTCCCGTGTGTTCCCGTGTGTCTCCGTGTGTTTCCCCATTCCGCGGTGTTTCACCCGCCTCTGGCCCGGCCCGGCCCGGCCGCGCCCGTTCCCGGGCCGAGGTTGCCCCCTGGTGCCCCCGCTCCAGCGCACAGCGCGGGCACCGCAGGGGTGCGGAGCGGCTGCGTGGGGGTGTGGGTGTGCGTGTGAGTGTGAGTGGGTGTAGGCGTGCGTGTGAGTGGGTGTGTTGCTGTGTGTCTGTCTTTCTGTGTGCGTGTCTGTGTGTGCGCCTGAGTCTGTGTCCGTGTGTGACTGTGTGCGTGTCTGTGTGTGACTGTGGATCTGTGTGTGTGTGTGTGTGTGTGTGTGTCTATGTCTGTGTCTGTGCGCGCTGCGCGTGAGGGGGCACGAAGAAGGGCACGAGGAGGGGCACGCGCTGCGCTCCGTGAGGGGACACGAGGAAGGGCACGAGGAGGGGCACGAAGAAGGGCACGAGGAGGGGCACGAGGAGGGGCACGCGCTGCGCTCCGTGAGGGGGCACGAGGAAGGGCACGAGGAGGGCACGCGGAGGGCACGCGCTGCGCTCCGTGAGCGGCACGAAGAGGGCACGAGGAGGGGCACGCGCTGCGCTCTGTAACGGGGCACGCGCTGCGCTCCGTGAGGGGGCACGAGGAGGGGCACGCGCTGCGCTCCGTGAGGGGGCACACGATGCGCTCCGTGAGGGGGCACGCACCGGCTCCGAACCTCCGGAGCGGGCTCGGCGCGGTGGGAAGGTGGCGCACACGAAGAGCCGCTTAATTACAAAATCACCGCCGTTTGCTGTTCAAACGTAACGATGGACGGGACGGACACGTTAAGGACGGGTCCGTTCCGCCACCGGAGGAGAACTCGTGCAGGAAGGAGCCGGCGGGGAAAGCCGAAGCCCGCTGAGCCACGGCAGGCGGAGGAGCCAATGAAGGAGAGGCCACAGCAGGTGTGTGTGATCTAGCACAAGTCTTCTCTATGTTCCACCCGCCCTTTGTTGGACTTCACTGAGGGTTTGCTTCATTCAATGCACATATTAATTATTTAGGAATATTGAATGCACATATTTAGGGAGCAGGGTTAATTGGGGTAGTAGGAAGCAATTCTTCCTTGTGGGGGTGGGGACACCCTGGCACAGGGTGCCCAGAGAAGCTGTGGCTGCCTCATCCCTGGAAGTGTCCAAGACCAGACTGAACGGGGCTTGGAGCACCCCGGAATAGGGGAAGGTGTCCTTTCCCAGGGCAGGAATGTCCTTTCTCATTTCCCCTGGATGAGCTTTAAGGTCCCTTCCAACCCAAAGCAGTCTGGCATATCTTGTGCTTGGTTGAGACTGCTTTTACCTTTGCTAACTGTAAATGTGTATATAGTAGACAACTGTATTTCTGTAGCCTGTGTCTGGTTCAGCTCCAAGGCTTAGGACTTGCATCTCTTGCTGTGGGCTAGCCCAAGAACACCTGGTTCCTCACTCCTGTCGACAGAAAAAGAGGGCTGAGCTCTGAAATAATCTGTTCAATTTTATCCTGGAAGGAGCCAGACCCACACAAATACCTTGGCAGTTTAATCCTGGTGCCTTAGGATGGGGCAGGCCCACGGGAAGGTGGGCCCACGGGAAGGTTGTCAAAACTATTTAAATGACATGGCGAGGACAGGAGTGCATCGTATCACAATTAAACCATGTGGCAAATCCTCCTTGGCACACCAGCAGGTAATGCCTTTGTGGAGTCCTGGGTATCATCAGAGACCTGGAAATAATGGCTGAGGCCAGCACTAGGGAATATAATTTCTTTAAATGTAAGAAAAAAGCAAAACTCAGAAAATGGTGATAGCATTTTAACTAACTTCAAGTGTGCTGCTGGTTCAGTCGCCCCTTTGATGTTGCAGCCGGGTGACCTGGCCTCCCCCGCCATTCATCACTGCCTGGAAATCAAACTCTCCCGTGATCCTGCTTTACAGTCCTCCCTCTGTTCTGCTAATAAACACAATGTTAGTGAAAATAACCATCCAAGAAGCGTTCAAAGGGGATATCCATGGATGAATTTTAGTGAGAGTGCAGTTTCTTACCGCCAAGCCCAAACCTTCAAGCTGCACTGCAGAAAAGATAGCATTCATGCAGCATCAGAATGCAAAGCTCCCAAATCCTGTTGCTCTTGGGCCAACTCTGCGATCGGGATTTCAGGGGAAATGCCTTTAGTTATTTCATTTCACCTGCATTTTACAGTTCCAGTGTTAGTTAAGGTAATAGCTGTGTAAACACCTGTTCCCCCCATGTTTTTGAAGAGTAGAATCTGAGAATTCCCTCACGACAGTTGCTGGACAGTGCTCAGTGAGTGGTCCCAGAGGCCAGCAGTGCCAGCGAGCTGTCCTGGGAGGGACTCAGCTGGGGCTGCAGTGGGCATGGCATGTGTATCACACACGGGCATGGCATGTTACTCACCTGGCCACGGTGCACGTGTCACACCAGCATGACCCTTGTCTCCGGCCTCATTTAATTTGATTGTGACCTCACAGTGATGTTTTAATAGCTTCTTGTCACCAACGCCATGGTGCCCAGGAATCAGAACTTCGTGCCTTATCCCTTCTGTGAGGCTGGATTAGAAGAAAATTAGGCAAGGATTTTTAGTTTTGGATTTTGGACTCTGGCACAGGTTTATTCTGGGTTTAGCAATTGCTTTTACTGTGTGTTGTCTGGACTGTGTAGCTGTGCATGAAGTGGGCTGAGAGAGCCTCGTGGTTGGGTGGGCACAGCTCTGCTGTGGCTTTTCAGATCCTGTGTGTTTTCTCCTCTTAGGTCTGGTGCTTTTCATCCTTGCTGCCTCTTTACCTTGTTCTAATCTGATCTGTTGTATCTGTTGTGCAAAGTAACAGACATGTAAGTCTAATACAGTAAATTGCTGTATGTATTATGGCAACACCATGGAAATATCTCTTAGCAGCAGCAGAAAAAAACCCTCACATTTAATTGTCTGATTTCTTGCTGAATATGGAATGGAAAATATGTTGATTTAACTCTAAAAAAATGTACAGTCAATTTAAGGGAAAAAAGAAAGAAAGGAACCCTTTACCATATCTAATTTCATTAGTAAACTGTAAATGGAAATGATGAAGAGGTATGATTTCAAAGGGCTGGGAACCCACACATTTTATGTAGCATTAATCATGTGCTCTTAATTTTTCTGCAGCAGAGCTCTGCGGCACTGCCTTCCAGCTCGGCCATTCACGGGGTGCTGGGCGAGGGTGGACACTGGAGCCTGGCTGGGACCCCCCCACGGCAGGGACCCCCCCACGGCAGGGACCCCCCCACGGCAGGGACCCCCCCACGGGGGAGGTTTGTGGCCACGTGCCGGAGCTGTTGGGGCTCGGGGGGCTCTGCTCGGGCTGGTGCAAACACGGCATTGCTCGTGTTCCACATTCCTCTGTCAGAGGCTCTTTCTCTTCCAGCCTGTAAAGAGGGTTAAGAAAGGAATTGTCTCTATTATGGTAATTAAACTCCCAGGAAACAGCCTCATTAGACTAATAAAGAGTAAATAAAGCAGGCAGGACACACTTTGCCTTCCAGTAGTGAGGGCAGCACTCATTTCCCTTCCTTTGGCTCCTGGGCCCTGGCACCCGCCTGGAGTCCCCTCCTCACAACTTGCCCAGCAGTTTTCCTCTTGGGCCAAAGCTTTCCTTGCTGTGTTGTAGGAGAGACAATAGATATTTCTAATGCTTGGGGAAGATTCCAGCTGACTTTTGCTTGTCTTCATTAAACCCCTCCTAGTTTTGCCTGCTGGCTCCATAGGAGTGGCCCTGGCTTGCAGCTGATGCCGTGGAAGGCTGGAACGTGCCGGTGCCAGACACATGGAACAAAGCATGGACTCTGGGTTTGGGTTCTGGCAGCAGGGACGTTTGGGGCACCCTTGTGGGTGACACTGCTCCTCCAGCCCTGGCCCCGAGGCAGGGACCGCACTGAAAGCGCACACACAGCTCTTCTGCTTCTTCAGCAGCCGAATACGGAGGGAGAATGAAATTAGCAGTAAAAGCATTAAAATATTGATAGCAATCATTCCATGTCCTGGCTTTACTAATTAATTATTAATTTTACCTTGAAGGTTAGTGTAAGAGATGGACTTTCGTTTATCAGGCCTCCACTTAGCATGATGTTTGACTATATATTTTTAAACATTATCAGAGCTTTAGCAAATAGCTCTTGTTTTTTCTGGGGAGCTGTTGGGATTTGCTTTGTGTGACTTCATGAGGTGGGAGAAAGAGGGTCACCATGATACTTAGAGGGATGGAACACCTTGCCTCTAAGGAAGGGCTGAGAGAATTGTGATTGTTCAGCTTGGAGAAGAGAAGGCCTCAGTGAGACGCTAGAGCCCCTTCCAGTGCCTAAAGAGGCTCCAGGAGAGGAACTCTGGACAAGGGATGGAGGGACAGGGCACAGGGAATGGCTCCCCCTGCCAGAGGGCACGGCTAGATGGGAGATTGCAAATCAATTCTTCCATGTGAGGGTGGGGACACCCTGGCATAGGGTGCCCAGAGCAGCCCAGCCGTGGCTGCCATAGCCTTGGAAGTGTCCAGGGTGAGGTTGGACGGGGCTTGGAGCAACCTGGCATGGTGGAAGGTGTCCCTGCCCGTGGCAGGGGGTGGAATGAGATGGGCTGTGAGGTCCTTTTACACCCAAACCATCCCATGAGTCTATTAAATAATTTTTAAACTGGGCAAACTTTGAATTTGCTGTGAAGAATGTGTTCTTCTTGAAAGCAGATTTTGCATTGATATCCATGCAGATATGAAACTCTGATGTGTGACTGTGGTGGTTAGAAATAGTATAGATTCCAGTGAACTCCACACCTGAACAGGAGCAGGGCTGGTTGTGCAGGGCTGGAGCTTTATATTTGTAAACCTCCCATTTCCTTCCCTGCATCAGCAGGGTTTAAAAGATCTTTTACTGTCTTGAGGGTAAATACCTTTCATTTCTGAAATGGTAAAACCCAAATCTCACTTGTTTCTCTTAAAGTGGACCCAGCTTTAAATGCAGACAAATGGAAAAAAACCTTCACTAGCCCCTCCTGGGGAAAGGGAGGCTGCAAACCTCTATCTTTGGACACAAGGATTTTTGCTCTGTCATTTTTAAAAAGGAATCACAGAAAACTAGATTTTTTTGCTGTAGAGTTATGAGAAACAGAATTTACCCAGTCTGAGCCCTTTTAAGATAAAGGAAATGAAGGAAATGACAGTCTTCTTCTGCATGCTGCTTTCCACTTGTAGCATCTGCAGCGTGCAGGTCCCAGTGGAGCTGGGGATGTGCTGGAAATTTTGATTTGCTGATGCTTTTTCCAGGACATGGACTCTCCCTGTCTGTGCTGTGCGATGATGTACCCAGGAGCACACGGCTGGGGCTGCTTGCTTGAACACTCACATGGAACTTCGGGAGCCTTGCTTGTGAAAAGAGTCATAATGCCCCACTTATTTAAAATTTTATTAGGAGGATTATATTTGTTAACTGAAATGGCAAATCCATCTTATGCAGCCCTGTAAAGTACCAGGAACCCTGGGCTAGTTTGCTGCTCATCACTGTGAGTGAGATATTGATACACTTAAAAAGTGTATGTGTAGCTTTTATCTCCAGTGCTTTTTAAAGATCTTTCAAGGGCCTTTGCCAGCCCCTCTGCTGGTACCTTGTCTCAGCGCCACGTGCTCATCAGTATTACAAGTCTGTGGGGCTGCTGAGCACAAAGCTTCAGGCGCAGCCTCTGCCTGCACTTGCTGCTGGGGCAGCCACCGCACCCCATGGTCCTGCACTTGCTCCCTTTGCAGGGAGCCTGGCTGTGACCTCTGCTTCGGTGATCTTCAGCAAGGAAAAAGCTTTTCCTGCGCAGTCTGCTCTTGGTTGTGCTGAGCAGATGCGCACTGGCCCAGGCTGTGGCCAAGTAATTGGCACTGGTAAAACAGAAACTTGGTCCAGTTACCTCTGCCCTCCCCCTTTCACGGTATCAGTTCCAGCAGAAAAATGCCACGTGACATCCATCTGTGTCCACATAATTGCAGGGTGTGTGTCAGCACAGTGTGATCATTTGTGTGCATGTGACATGAAAGTAATTGGGTTATGGTATCCAAAAGAAACAGCCAAAGAGGAATTTTCCTGCCGTGTGATGTGAATATCTTTGTGTTGTTTCTACATTATGGGAATAAATACAAGATTGAAACAGAATTTCAGCTAGGATAGATAGCACCAGTTCTGCAGAGACTGGCTGGAGCTAATACATGGGGTTTGGTGAGCTCAGGCCTCATAAGGGCTCTCCTCTGCTCCAAGGACTGACTGCAAAGCACCTTCTTCAAGTTATTCTTGAAGAAAGCCCCATTTCTGGTTTCTGTTAGAACTCTAAGGTGGAGAGATGGACTTCCAGAGGTCCAAGGGCTGGAAAAAGCCCCCCAAAGCCTTGGGAGAAGCACACATTGCCTTCTGCTCAGAGATGACTGATCTGAGACAGCTGCAGGCACAGGCAATTTTTCAGGGGTTTGATGCCAACCCCTTTGTCCCCTTCCCTGCTGTGGCCCACTTGGTTGCCTCAAGCATGTGGTGCCGAGAAGCACAAAGTCCTCCTGCCCCCCAAGCAGTAGATCCACTAGGATACATCTTCTGCAAAGATAATTTGAGTCACGTCTGTCATAGGGGGTGACAAACAGATTTATTTCCTTTGTTATGGCTTTTGCCGTGAAAACCTTTCGGACTGTTGTGCTGTAGGTTGAGCAGCAGTGAGATGCAGAGCCTGGAATGGGAAGCGACACTGTCTGAGCAGCCTCCGCTGTGCTCAGCAGCGCGTTTCCTCCCCTCCCAGCCAACCTCCTCCTCACTCTCACAAGGCGAGGATTTGCGGCAGCTTCTTCCCTGGGCAGTGGCTGCTCCTCCCAGCTCCTGGAGCGGCTCCGTGTCCTTTCCTGAGCCTGGAACCAAGCACCAGATCTGTGGTTAATACACAGCAACTGGGGCTGTGGAGAAGCTGTGGCTGCCCTTGGATCCCTGGAAGTGTCCCAGGCCAGGCTGGAGCAGCCTGGGATAGTGGAAGGTGTCCCTGCGCAGGGCAGGGGTGGGACTGGATGAGCTTTAAGGTCCCTTCCTGCCCAAACCGTTCCATGATTCTAAGATAAGGTGTTCCTGAGTAGGAAAGAGGACAGCAATGGGATACTAATGAGAAGCACTCTGGGACTGGGAGGAGCAAGTTATGATTTAGAACTTGCTTCTGGGCATCTGCATGGAAATATCTGTTCTGGTCATGCAGGGAGGTCATGGAAAATGAAGTGACTGGTGGGTTTGGCTTGTGTGACTGATGTGCTAAAGATGATCTGCTCCTTCATTAGCAGCACTCTGATGGAGGACACCAGAGGACACTCAGGGCGAGGACAGGATTTTTAACAAGTAATTTAGAGCCTGTCTGCACTGCGGGATTAGGCGGAGGTATAACCTGAGAGCTGCCAGTAACCTGACGCTGGCGGGTGTCTGTGACTGGAGCAGAGGCTGGCGGGGCCGGGCCGTGCGGAGCGGGGCCGGAGCTGCGGCTGCTCCCGCCGTGGGGCTGGGCCGGCTCCTCTCACATGCCGGGCAGCTCCGGCAGCTCCGGCAGCCCAGGCTCGCTGCTGACAGCGCTTGGAGCTGCTTGGGAGGAGCGAGTGTGAGCGTAGATGGCTTCAGCCGACAGGGCAGGAGGGCAGCCCCACCGAGAGCTGAGACACCCGATGGAACTCAGAAATCCACACAGACCGTTGGGAGACAGCACATAGAAGCTCGCAGTTAATTTTTTTTTTTTTTCCCTTGAAAAAAAATTCTTTCCACAGTAGCAGACTTGCAGCTGTTAACTAATCCCATAACAAGTGGCATTTAGCCACACATTTTCCAAATTAAATAAGCTTGCATGTTGGACTAGTTTCATACCCTGTAATACAAATACTTTCCCTGCTGGGGAAAAAAAAATTAAAAGAAAAATCCTCTCAGGCGTAGGAAGAGTGGGGAAGGGGAAGGTGGGTGTGCACGGCCATGTTGCTACTGCTGTCCCTGTCAGCGCGGCGGTTCCGCGCACAGCACCGCGTTCGCTGGAGGATCTGATGGGTTATCAAGGACTGCTCATGCTTAAATTATTAGTTAAGGCTGTGACATTAAAGAATTGTTATTTGGTCATGGTCTCATGGCTGTGTTTTGCCAGGAGGTGTTTGGAAATTCTCATCTCTGCTGTCACGTAATCTGTACTTGCCCTTTTGGTGCTTTTTTTCCTGGTCATTTGAATAATGTTTTCAGATCCTCAACTGACTCCAGGCTCGGCAGCTTTGGGCCACAAGCAATTAGCAGCACATGTTGGTAGAACTTAGGCTGGATCTCTTTTGAGGGTGTTTGAGAGCACCTCCTCTACCCCCCACCTGCTTCCTGCGCATTTTTAAGAATCCCATTGAAAATTTTTCAGGATCCCCATCCTAGCCAAATGCATTGTTTCCATGGAAACAATTAATGGGGAGAGCAATTTATAAGACTGATGTAAAAAAATGAGCACTTCGTCAGCCCCCCTGCTGCTCTGATATACAATCTCGAGGCAGAGGCCGGGTGAGGTTTGCATAAGTGATATCCTTAAAAAAGGGGGAGACAGAGAAAGGAGCCTGGGAGTCTGCCCGTGGCACGGTGAGCGATGCCTATTGTGCTGCACAGGCATTATTAGCTCTTGGAAAAGATGAGGTCTTTAAAATGCTTTTCCTTTAGAGAAAGGGTTTTTCCTAATCCCATCCTGTGCCACAAGATCCACGGCCTGGGGTTGTGGCTGGCGATGGAGTCATGGCTGGGGATGGCCATGGCAGCAGGGTCCCTGTGTAGGACCTGGCCTTTGATTAAAAGGCTTTCAGGAAGCCTTGGTTAGAGACTTGCTTTAAAAGTGTTCTCTTTGTTGGGCTTTAAAAATTATTCTTTTATTTTGTATTTGATTTAAATCTGCCACTTGAGCTTTCTCCCAGCCAATGTTTTGCATTGATTTTATCAATATATATATAAAAACCTAATCAGAATTTGCTGTTTAAGATGGAGCGTGGGCAGAGCACCCA